ATACATTTGTGTAAACTCTAGAAAATGCTAGGTACAGTTCTTCGTTATAGAAGTAGCAATAAAATACGCGATCAGCAATCGTGTGTTCTTTTAAGAATTGGATAATTTCTTTCTCTGTGTTATTGACCGGAATAAATACATCTTTAATTACTTTTTTAGAATTAGTAGACCTATTTTCTACTCTGTATGTTGATCCTGGAGTTGACCTGATATGGAATTGTTTTAGTTGTCTGTCGATCGCGTCCGATAAGATTGGTATCCCGTTGTTTTCATTGTCAGGTTGCGTATGGTTTGTTGATACTAAGTGATCAGGATCGAGTGTAACGATACTCATATTATCGGATTCTGTATCTGTTAGAGGATATTGTACGTTAGGCCTAACTGTCACGTTATTGTCATTGCTATCGCTGTTGTTATCATTACTATCCTCAGGCTGTTCTATTGCATCGGTTTCCGTATCTACCTCTTGTTGTGCGTTGTCGAAAATTCTATTTATAATGTCGTCATCTTCATTGTCATCTAGATTGACTGCTAGTGAATCAATGCTCTTATGATAAATTTTAACTCGAGAGAGAGCATCTGCGTTAGTATTTTGTCATCCTTTTTTGTAAACGACCGTGTAGTCATACTCAGCGATTTTAAGTCGCCACCTAGTCAATTTTGAGCTAGGGTCTTTTAGTGACATTAACCGTGTCTATGGTCGGTGTATATAGCAAATTTTCGTCCATAAAGATAAGGCCGAAAATATTTCACTGCCCAAACAATGGCTAAGACTCATTTTCTATTGTTGATTACTTCGCTTCTGCATCCGAAAGTGTCCTCGATGCGTATGCTACCGGTTTGTCTAATCCTATCTTTCCTTGAGACAGTACTGCACCATGGGCTACGTCCGATGCATCTGTTGTCAGTACGAATGGTTCGTCAAAATTTGTGTACTGCAAGATGGGTGCATTGGTTAAAATCTGTTTGCAATTATTGAAGGATTCCAAAAATTCCGGTGAGTGTATAACTTTGCTATTTTTCTTAAGACATAAGGTTTCGTAAGTTTGCCAAAGTCTTTAATGAACTTTCAGTAGTATCCTACGAGTCCTAAAAAGCTTTTAATCTCCTTCTGTGTTTTTGGTAGTGGGAAGTTCAGAACCACTTTAATTTTGTCCTGATTAGGCTTTAGTCCTTGATCAGTTAGTTCATGGCCTAAAAATGTGACGTGTTTTTGAAGAAACTCAGACTTGTTCAACTGGATTTTCAGATTATGTATTTTAAATCTTTCGAAAACTTGTTTTAGCGTACCATATGCTCCTACAATGACGTTGATATTATTATGACGTCGTAAAGATGTAAAGATGTGGTCCATGAGCCGTTGAAAGGTACTGGGTGCATTTTTTAAACCAAATGGCATTCTAAGGAATTCGTTATGTCCTCTTTTTGTTGTGAATGCAGTTTTCTCTATATCATCAGGGTGCATCTCCACTTGATGGTATCCGCTCGCCAAATCTAGGGTCGTAAAGTACTGGGCATGTCCAAGTCTGTCTAAGATGTCGTACATGTTGGGAAGTGGGTAGTTGTCTTTTATTATTCTATCGTTAAGCCTTCGATAATCTATGACTAACCTCCATTTTACCTTACCTAGTGCGTCCGGTTTTTTAGGGACAATATGAACAGGGCATGATCATGGGGATATACTTTCACGAATAATACCTTGCTTTAAAAGATTGTCTACCTGATTCTGTATTTCTTTGCGTTGTTGTGGGGCTTGTCTATAACTTCTTACAAATATCGGAGTCTGGTAGGTTATTCTTAACTGATGTTTAACTGCATGCGTAAAAGAGAGTGGGATATTTTCAGAGTAGAAGATATCTCTATACTGATAGCAAATCTTAGTAATTTCGCGTTCCTCTTCTTCGTTCATATGATTTGTACGTATTTTATTTAAATTGTTGCGTAATTCTTTCTCTATATCTGCGTTAACCTTATTTTATGCTTTATTACTCGTCTGGCTTTGTATGGGGCCTGAGTTACTAAATTTTGAGGCTGATTTACAGCTCGTATTGGTTCTCTAAACTTTGCCTGAGCCGATGTTGATGGTGCACTATAGTTATTATTGTGGAATGTCTTATTAAAGGCGAGTTTAGCTTCCGCTTGTCTCGCTATTACTATAGCTGATTCTAATGAAGTGGGTTGTGCTATTCGAACCGCTATAGAAACTTGAAAATCTAAATTACTTGTGTATTGTTCTATTACCATGTTTTCGTAATACGACTTATTAATATGTGTGCCTACAGAAAATAAGGTATCTAGTATTTCTCGAAGCCGCCTACCAAGTGTCTCGGCATCCTCGTTTCTGTTACGCCGCACCCTACTTAGCTCTTGCATAACCTGGATTTCATTTCTAGGTTCCCTTAATCTACGTACGAGCGCATTCTTAATTGTTTCACAAGAATTAAGAGATTCTTGGTATGCTATCGCATCAATCGCGGTACCGCTTAATCTACTCTTTATAAGACATATAATTGCCGGATGTACCCTGGCATTATCATCCAAAAGATTAAGGATATTTTCGATTTCTCTGTTGTAATGATTCAATCTCTTTGTATTGCCATCGTACTTTGGCATCAATTCAACGATCATCTTAACGTTGGCTGCATCATCGTTAAGAAAAGACATTTTTAAATCAATAATTAAACACTTTATAAGTTTAAAAAGTTCGGGCTCTGTGCCTGCCTATTTGCGATTTTAGCTATAAGACAAATACTCTATCGGACCTCAACTAAGAGTCTACAGCGATTTTAGCTATTAGACTTATCCTATGCTATCTATTTGAGCTATAAGACGTATACCTAATCTCCTAACCAAATGTCTATAGCGATTTTAGCTTTTAGACAGAATTACATATACTACTTAAACTAAATACGGAAAGAAATAGAGCAAAGGAACTTGAAATAGCGAGAGCACTCACCAAAGCGCCTTCTGCATCTCCTCACGGGTCTGAGTCAGCTTCGCGTGAAGTCTTCGTCCGTGCCGCCGTCGTAGATCCGAAGTCGCGATTTATACGATCGAAACCGTTCAATTGGTCGAAGGTTCTACCAATTGTCGCGAAAGACCGACTGCGCCAGTTACGATATGGCGGCGATCGAAAGACTTTTTAAAAAATATAATTAATTTAATTTCACAAAAGTAACAAAATAATTAATTCAAACAAATTGTAAATTTATAAAAGAAGTTAAGTTATGCGTGGATGGTGTCAGACCGCGAGACAGTTGCATTGTTTCCACGATGATACTTTTCGCAGCACAAGCGTTCCACATATGCTCATTGTTATGTTCAATTGCTATGTCAGCCCGATTCCAGGGTTACGACACGTTAACTCGAGGCATTTTATTTTAGTTCTCAGGGGCTCTCCTTTACAACCCATGTGAAATGTGTTCTCCTTTATGACCTATAAAGGCCATAAATCAGGTCAGGGTCAGGATCTTATTACTTTATATAACTTATACAACCTTTTTACATGAAATGATTGATTCCCTGGCCACTGAACTAGTATATATAATATGGTGTTTTAGGAACCAGTTCCTCCCCTAGGAAGGGGAGTTGACCTTTTGACTACAATTTGTATATAAAAATTTAAAGTTATTAGTTAGTTATACATCTTTAGAAATATAAATTTTAAATACAAAAAAATATTTTAAGCACTTATTTTTCTGTGTGTGCATGCGTGAGCGTGCGCGCGCGCGCTCGTGTGTGTGTATGTGTGTGTGTGTGTGTGTGTGTGTGTGTGTGTGTTTGTGTGTTTGTAAGTATGTATTGTAATAGACGCGTATAAGTGTTGCGTGTGGTAAACCTACGACATAAGTGCTTCTGTGCTATCATATTCAACGTTCTCAAGCGTTAAGATCTCATTCTGATATGTAGTTAGTATAATTATTTAAATTTAAGTTAAAGTACGTGTATAACTTATTGTATAAATAAGGGGCAATGTAATTATAGTGTCTTTTTGCAAAAACACTTCTTGTTCTAGAGGTCGGGTATTTGAAGGTATTATACTATAAAAGGCTTTATATTATAAGAAAAGAGAATTTGTAAGACCTGTGTAAACAATAAGAGTTTTATGGTAACGTTATTTTCTTTATGGAACTTCATAACTTCGAAAAAGATGTTTTATTTAGTCTTAGTGTTGGGATCTTTATAGTACTGATGAAAGACGTAACTAATATGCGAGCGTTCGCCAAGATGAGTGAGTAAATAGCTCAGTGGGGCTGCGATGTGATCACGATGGTAGTGGGACCGCGGACAGGAATTTTCTTGACAAGTCCGGAATTTTAGCTCTCTGTCAGGGAAACAAAAAATTTGAGATTGTCAGGAATTTTTAAATAGAAAGAGAAAAATATCAGAAGTAGAAATTAAAATATTTATTAAATATGTTAATCACAAGAAATAATAAATAAATCAAACCTCGTCAGTTAAAATGACTTTATATATTTACACATCTAATCTGGTTCGAACTTTTATTGCCGGATATTGCGCATATGTCAAGCACATGAGCGAGTTTTTACAATTAGATATATTTGGTGCCTCCGTATCAATATCAGGAAATTTACTGAAAAGACTATTTGTCAGGAAAACTCATATTCGGATCTGGTAACCCTAGCCGCACAGCGATCTAACCGAAACTAGAACTGGTTTAAGGTTTGCTGACCGACGTTACGAGCCGGGGATAGTATTTCGATGTAACGTCAGGAACAGTTTTTTTATATTAAAAAAATACCCCCCATACTAGGATATTCTCCTGTATTGTTGAGGCAATTTACATACATAAATTTCACAAGGACAAACATCCAAACCCGGTGAGATTATTTGTATATACATGCATTTTGCATAGAAACACTTGTTCCTTGGGGGATTCGAACCTGTGGCTCACAGCGCACTGCTGTGAGCCGCACGTTGCTAATTCACTGCGCCATGGAGCCGATATACACAGCATACGTAATGAGGTGTGTGTGCAGGTGTCTGTGCGCGTGGGGCGGTCGCGGCTGATACTAGAGAGCGGCGGTGCGGCGGCCACGGCTCGCGCGCCGCCGCTCGCGCGCTCCGCCCGGCTCTACGTGGGCGGGCTGCCCGCACCCGCCACCGTACCGCATCTACCCAACAGCGTATGTATTATGTGTCGCTCACTACTGCACACTATTACGCATTACTGTTTACGCCTGCTAACTGCAGACCGCAACTGCGCACTACTGCTTACTACAAACCATAGAATACTATAATGTACAGTAGAATGGCTGTCAACCTTATATTGTACGACGATTGGCGTCGCCAAGAACACACATACAAGCAATTACGTAGTATTATCACTCCTACCAACCCGATTCGCTGTGTTGACAGACAGATTTTAAAACGTATTTATTTGTAAATAGCGTGCAATTTGGCATTTTCTAAATAATTTGCATGCGAAATTTGTAAACGATTGTAACGTCAAAATACATCTCATGTTGACATTTATACGTGTGAATTGTCGTGTTAGAGACATTTTAGTGGCTACACGGGCTCCGCCCACTCCCCCGTTCTATTATGTATGTAATTATAGTATTCTATGCTACAAACTTCTACTCAGTACATATCACAAATACGCTCTACTGCTCACTACAAACCAGTAATGTATGTACTACTGCTAATTACTAGACCACTACTACTTACTACAAACGATTACTGCGCACTTTTGCATACTACAATCCACTATTGCTTACTTCTTACTCATTACAGACCACAACTGCACACTACTGATCACTGCTGCTCGCTACTGCTTGCTATATACCACTACTGCGCACTACTATTTTCTACTGTTTACTACAGACCACTCCTGCGCACCACTGCTCACTACAGACCACTACTTCTTACTACTACTACTGTACTACTACTGCTATAACCAGGTGTATTCTTGCCTGATCTTTTGAGAATTGCCAACAACTAATGAGACTCAAGCAAGAAATTGAGAAAAACAGCCGGAATCGATCAACTGAAAAGGAGTGGTCGTTCAATCATGATAACGCCAGACCACACACATCTTTGGCCAATCAGCAAAAAATTGAGAGAGCTTGGTTGGGAACAGTTAATGCATCCATCATTTAGTCTTGACCTTGCACCCTCAGATTTTCACCTGTTTAGGTCCCTTCAGAATTCTTTGGGTATTGTTAGGTTAACATCAAGAGAGGACTGTCAAAACTTCTTATCGCATTTTTTGACATTTTAGGGGTCTTAGTTTATATTCGATTACGATGAATTTGGGTGAGTGTTATGCGCGGCTGTGTTAGTTTACAGACAAATAAGGGGCATGAATATTTGTATGTCAGATCGTGCGCACGCGCGGGTTCGTGGGGTGCGTGCGGCGCGTGAACGTGAACGGGCGCGCGGAGGACCTGGTGCGCAACGCGCAGGCGCATCGTGGCGTCGGCCAGTGCTTTCCCAACGTCGAGCGCGCCGCGTACTTCGCTGGTGAGTGCCGTCTGCCGTCACCCTTCACGTTGCTTTTCTGATCAGTATTCAAACATATAGTTATTTCTATATTTTTGAATATTGATTCTAATAACGCACTTAACGAGAACCACAGGGTATTTGTTGCATGTTGTATAATGGCTGTGCTGCAGTTGCTTAGCAATGAGTTGGAGCGCTAAGGGCCACTGATCAAATCTCGCATGGAACAAGACTTATTTGTATGGCTGACAAATAACTGTTCCGGGTCTGGATGTTTGTCCTTGTGCAATTTATGTATGTAAACTGTCCCCACGACATGAGAGATAATACTAGTATCCTAGTATAGCCACAAGTAACACAAGTACATTCATAATGTCTATCCATTACAGCTTTTCAAAAATCGACTGCTGAACATTGACCACCCCTATAGATTAATAGGGAGTATATTTGCCATAATCACCACGCTTGGCAAATGGGTTGGCAAACGTAGTTTTATACGATTTTTAGTAACTAGTATTTTTGTTGTTACAAAAACACTACGCTGTGGAGTAGTAGATTCTCTTACGTCGGTTACGATAGCTAAACCTGAGTAAATGTTCCTTTCGGCGGATATGGCCAGTATTTATTATTAAATTATTTCAATCTTTCATTACAGTCTAACAGTCCACTGCCGCACATAGGCTTCCCCGATATGTTGCTTCACAGGAGAAATATGTTTTTAGTTATAAGGATCTGTCACTGCTTACATCCACTAGATGGTATGGGGAAGTAGATTCCCTTACGAACTACAACTACACCTTCCTACTTTTTCAATCTTTTTCTTTTTCTTAATTTATATTTCCTAGTCCTTCAGACAGGTTCGCAGTTAACTGTGTCATAATCATTCATTTGTACTAAAGTACCTCGCGAAGTACTCACGAGGTAGCCCTCATTTGAGCTAAGGAAACGCTCATCAGCGTATTCATCTCTCAATGCAAATCGCCTCCTTCTGAAAGTTTTTTGAAAGCCAGACATGTTGTTCCTATGATCATTATAATATTTATAATATGTCTGTTGTTACAATGGGCGATATTAGTGGACACAAATAAAATTTTAATTTCTCTGGCTACAACCATTGAAACCAAAATTGGGTAATCAATAAAAATGCGTATGATTTTATTTTCACACGCAAGTATGTGATTTAAGTATTTCATATTCTATTATTCCAAAATTATGTTTGTTGTTTATAAATCTTTTTCTCAGTATCAACATCTCACTCATTTAGATATTAGGTACTGCAAGATACATGATCTCGATACCTACTAAAACTATTTTTTAATCGAGTCATTCACTCACTCGCGACACGATTCGTTGTCAGTTATACGCGAGATCGTGAACGAGTGAGTGAGGTGGTACAATGTTCAAATTCGAGTAACTTTCAATTTTCCATCACGAGGACCTCAAACTCATACTAACTCTAAATTGCTGTAGGTTGTAGACAATGGCTGATTTTTCATTAAGATTTATTTAATCATGATCAGGTGACGCTTACGCGGTGTGGGCTACTCGATGGTGGACCGAGGACATGGAGTCGGCCGAGTTGAAACTCCAGTTTCGTTCTACTTCGCCCAACGGTGTGTTGCTTGCCTCTAACGGATTCGTGTTGGAGCTTAAAGATGGCGCGGTAAAAATTTAATAATTTATATAATGTATATGTAAAGTACACCATTAGTTATAAATTAAATAGGTATTGACACTTATGTATGTGTATAACTTTAATGAGCATTATAAATAATTTTTTCATATGTGTGTGGACGGTGTTGATGGGAGACTTCAACGCAAAACTAGGCACAAGAGAAAACGGTGAGCTGAAGTTAGGGAAATTTGAGTAGGGCAACGGAACCGAAGGGGCCAGCAGCTGGCCGACTTTATGGTGAAAGAGGGACTCTTTATGATGAACTCTTTCTTCCAGAAGCGGCCCCACAGGAAGTGGACCTGGTTGAGCCCCGACGGTTCGACAAAAAATGAGATTGACTTCATTATGACGACCAGACGCCAACTGTTCAGTGATGTCTCAGTGATCGCAAGGGTGAAAACTGTCACTGATCACCGAATGGTTAGAGGCACACTGAACCTAAACGTTAAGTTGGAGAGGTCTCGTCTGATGAAGTCAACGCTCCGTCCCCCTCGTGCTCTAATCCAGAATCCCGAAAACTTTCAGTTCGAGTTACGTAACCGCTTTCAGTGCCTATAAGATTGCAATGCAGTGGACGATATGAATGACAAGCTCGTGGAAACTGTCAGTGCGGTCAGAGCTAAGTTCTGCAAGACCCGCCGCAGAAGAACACAAAAACTCTCCGATCACACTCGTAATCTCATGGCTGTTATACGGGAGATGAGGCTGCAATCGGCGTCAACAGATTTGACAGCATACAGGCAACTGAACAGACAGATCTCCAAATGCACGTGGCGAGACTTTACGCAACTTTAATACTGCTCGTATTAAAGAAGCGATCGAGCGGAACCAGGGCTCCAAAGTCTTTGCCAGAGATCTGTCTGCCAGTAAGAGCCAACTTTCAAAGCTGAAGACTTAGTGTAGCAGCATCGTTTCCGGGACACCTGAGATTTTGAGTGAGATTGAGAGGTTCTATGGGCAGCTGTACACATCATCGTTGGAGCCACACGCAAGTGTGAGTAACGATCCAAGAGCAAGTCTTATCCCACACTATTCCGATGATATCCCGGACGTCAGTCTAAGCGAGATTAGAATGGCTCTCCAGCACCTTAAAAACGGCAGGGCCCCAGGCGAGGATGGAATTACAGCGGAGCTTCTGAAAGCGGGTGGAACACCGGTACTTGAAGTCCTTCAAAAGCTCTTCAATTCCGTCCTCCATGGTGGCACTACTCCAGAGGCGTGGAGCAGAAGTGCGGTGGTCTTGTTCTTTAAGAAAGGCGACGACGCTCTCTTGAAGAACTACAGACCGATTTCCCTTCTGAGCCGCGTCTACGTACTGTTTTCGAGAGTCATTACGAATCGTCTCGCACGCAGACTCGACGACTTCCAGCCTCCCGAACAAGCCGGTTTCCGAAAAGGCTTCAGTACCATAGACCACATACATACCCTGCGGCAGATTGTACAGGAGACCGAAGAGTACAATCTGCCAGTTTGCCTGGCGTATGTGGACTATGAGAAAGCCTTTGATTCCGTCGAAATTCGGGCGGTGCTACAGTCCCTTCAGCGGTGCCAAGTTGACTGTCGGTATATCGAAGTGCTGAAGTGTTTGTACAGTAGGGCTACGATGGCTATCCGAGTACAGAACCAGAGCTCGAAACCTATCCAACTGCAGAGAGGTGTAAGACAGTGTGACGTTATATCCCCGAAACTCTTCACCGCTGCATTGGAAGACGTTTTCAAGCTACTGGACTGGAAAGGATACGGTATTAACATCAATGGTGAGTACATCACTCACCTTCGATTTGCCGACGATATAGTCCTTATGGCAGAATCGCTGGAGGACTTAAGCACTATGCTCAATGACCTCAATAGTGCCTCCCAACGGATAGGTCGTAAGATGAACATGGACAAAACAAAGATTATGTTTAATGCCCATGTCACACCTATGCCGGTAGTTGTTGGGAGCACTATACTCGAAGTTGTTGACGAGTACGTTTACCTGGGACAAATAGTCCGACTAGGTAAGTCCAACTTCGACCGAGAGGTCAATCGACGGATTCAACTCGGCTGGGCAGCGTTCGGGAAATTACGACATATCTTCTCGTTAGGTATACCTCAATCTCTAAAAACTAGATTGTACAACCAGTGCGTGTTGCCAGTGATGACTTACGGATCAGAGACGTGGTCCTTCACTGCTGGCCGTATGAGGACGCTCAAGGTCGCTCAGCAAGCTATGGAGAGGGCTATGTTCGGAGTTTCTCTGCGTGATACTCAGAAATGAGGATACCAGCAAAACCAGAGTGACCGACATAGCCCAACGGATTAGTAAGCTGAAGTGGCAATGAGCCGGCCATATAGCTCGAAGAACCGATAACCGATGGGGAAGAAAGTTTCTCGAGTGGCAGCCTCGTACCGGTAGGCGTAGTGTAGGGCGACCCCCCACTAGATGGAGTGACGACCTGGTAAGATATGCAAGAAGTCGATGGATGCAGGTGGCTCAGGACCGTGCTTTGCGGCATTACTTGGGGGAGGCCTATGTTCAGCAGTAAACTTGTGAAGGGCTGTAATGATGATGATGATGATGTGTGTGGACATAAGCCTCTTTCGCTAAGGTTTTGCCTTAATCGCCACGTGGCAGGTGGAATGGCGATAATAGCACCAATTTCTCACATTTGACGCTGTTCCATTTAAATTGTCTCCCCAAAACTCCGAATTAAAATTAGCTTAAAAACCAAGTTTGTTGCATTCAGAGGAAACCAAAAACGAACCAGATCACACTCGGCTTCAAAAAATTTTCATCATCATCATTGTTACAATCCACTACAATTCCAATGCCGAACACAGATCTTCCTCAAGGAATGCTGCAAAGCACGGTTGTGAGCCACCTGCATCTGTTACCAAGTCGTCGTTCCATCTTAGTGGCGCCCAAATCACTTACCGATACGAGGCCGCCACTCGAAAAGCTTTCCTCTCAACCGGTTCTTTTATAGAAGAGTGGGCAAACGAACACGCGGCTCACCTGATGGTAAGTGTCGACCGCCGCTTATAAATTACAAAACTCAACCTCATCAATCAACTAATAAAATAACTCGTAAAATGTTTCAAGCTATTTCAAATTTCATGCGCACTCCACTGTTCGACACATGTCGACCGATGACCTCGTATTGCCTTAGCGATACTGCTGCTGTCATAAAAAATGAGTTTTAATAGAGCTAATAGTTGTCTCCTTCGCTCGCGTGGGCTTTTTACGGGGCTTTCGAGAAGACGATCGCTCTCTTTCTAACCTATGGCAAAATATTCTATAATGAAATATAACTACGATTGTATATATAGCAATTAGTATAGAGATTTAAAGCCAGGCTTTTGGGAATAAATTTGTTAAAAGTGGAGGCGCGCGGGCAATACATTTGCAAGTTCATTTCACGTTTCAATGTTTATTTACTCTGTGTACTTATCTTAAGCGATGTAATATTACGAGTTCAAAATTTCTGCTTTTTTAAAGATTTTAATGAAAATGGAGGATAATAGTGTTCCTTGTGATGAATTGAAGTGTGTTAAAGTGATAATCGGAGAGGAAATCTTTAAACTTTGTTGAGATAATACACAAGGTTAAGAGTGTATTTCAGACTTATCAATTATCACAATTAAAAACAGTTATTGGTACAATTAAACGTTCACCAACATTTTACGTGGACGTAATTAAATCTTTCCATAAGAAAGCGAGACGATTCCACTTATCTTATCTCTTATCCATTAGAATGTAGATAATTTTTTTTTTAATTTTGTACATAGTTTGTTTGTACTTTGTTCATGTTTTGTTCATGTGTTGTATTGGATGTAAATATTTTTTTTCTTTCGCTTAAACAAACCCAAACGGCTTTCTTCAAAGCCACCGAAGCTATGCAATTGCTGATATGTAATACAATCTATCTAGCAGTGGTATGCCTTCTGTGTGCTTTGTTAAACACGTCCTTGACAGCACTGAATATGAAACTGAAGCGTGGAGACAGATCAAGATTGGTGTATTTTTATAAAACTGCTAAAAACAACAATCTATATTTTTATCAATTTATATATATCTTGGGCTTGCCCTAGCTTGGAGCTCTAGCTTCGTCACTGTTCGCAGATACGTTGCTGGCCTCATAAAAAGGTTGCCGGTTCTTCGAGCTATATCGCCAGCCTCTTCTGCTTACTGATTAGATGGGCTATGTCGGTTACTCCGGGTCTATTGCGGATATCTTTATAACGACGAGTTTTTATGTTCACTGAATTTTACCCAGGATTTACGTTTCAGTCGTTATCATTGACACGCAAGCTGACGATTGTAGTACCAGATCTCTCGCATCTTTGACACTGCTGTTCATCCTCGGTCTAGGCATTTTGTATTCCGTTATATAGCTGTAACATTTTTCTGGAATTCCGGGCCGGAGACAAATCAGGTGCAGAGCCAATGACTTTACGTGCTTTCTGAAGCAACGGGGGTTAAACACCGCCAATTTTCTGACTGTGGATACTACTACTGAGAATTTCTTGACTGAAAAACCTCATGACCGCCAATCGCGTTTATGACATCTAGACCAATATATAGAATAATGTGAGGGTGCGTGCACATACGCAGGTGTTACTGAGTGTGGGCGAGGCGAGAGTGACGTCACTGGCAACGAACGGGCGCGTAGCGTGCGACGGCACGTGGCACAGCGTGCATGCGCGCGTTTCGCACTCCACCGCACTGCTGGCGCTCGACACGGAGCCGGAGCAGCGTGCCGTGTCGCCTGCCGCCTCCCCCGCCCCGTCGCAGGCGCCCGCGCCGCTCCACGTCGCCGCGCTGCCCGGTTAGTTTGCACTGCATGTGTACAGGTGGCACTGAGCGTGAGCGAGTGACGTCACTGGCCGCCACGGCACGCTACTGACGCTAAGCACTGCACCAGAGCAGCGCTACGTATCGTGCAGCTAACTTCATACAAAGAAGATCACTGATGCGCTGTCACCTCTGAGAACTAAGATGGAATGCCTTACACCCTATAATCACTTTGCTCTATTAAATATATTCTTCAGCTGGAATACAGCAGTGTAAGCACTGCTATTTGGCGGCAAAAATAGATAGAGACGGTTGTACTTACCCAGGCGGACTCAGGGGTGAGAAGTAAACACGGGGTATGTTCCGAAATACAACTCAGTACACTGGCAAATGCAAATGACGTCATCAATTGACACTATATTGTACTTGCGTGCCGCCGCCATATTGCGTCGGATATCCGGCCACAATAAAACAATTTTTAATTGTGTGTGCGCTGAATGAAGTATGTCAGAATTTGTTTTTATTTATTCAAATACAAAAAATTATAGAATAATTGCTGGTATCTTCATTAGGAAGATATAATGATTTTTGAGCACAAAATGACAAAATAATCGTCAACACTTTTCCAATAAGGCGTAAATGTATGACGTCATATACTCTCCTATGTTTTGGAACGAATCATCAGTATAGCGTCGATTCATGACGTCATTTGCATTGGACAGTACACTGGGTTGTATTTCGGACCATACCCTCGATAAAGCCGCGATTGTAACTCACTGCACGTCGTTCGGCCTATGCGGAAAGTGTGTATACGGGTTGCGATGTAACCCGTATACACACTTTCCAAAAACAAACCCTTCCCTAAGCACGCAGTGTAATTAGGGAAAGGAGCCTGGCCAAGCAGACTGCAAAGCATTACTCCACCTATTTATCCGGTAAGTATTGTAACTAAAGGAAGGGAATGAAGGGCGAGGGTTAGCACCACGCAGCCTCGACACGGCGTATTGCACGTTATCAGATTATCCTTAAGACTATTTAGATCTAGATCTAAGACTGAAGAACTAGGATGTAGCATTAGAAACACGGACACTTTCGTAAGTTTTCTACTATATAAAATTTAAGAGTCCAACTTAGCCATATACGTGTAGGACAGTATTATAGTGCCCAAGTGTATGCCCAAGCACAGGTGTACTCTATATTCCCTCACTCTCATAGTCCCATGGGAACGGTAATCTGATACGACCAGAGAGAGATCAGGCACAAGACCAAAAGCTTTACGAGCTTTCCGAGGCACGGAGGTAAAACACCACCAATTTCCTCAATCCGGGTCGCCACTAGAAACATACGAATACTACACCAAGATGGCAATCAAAATAATAAGTAATTTAGGTCCGCCACACACTACATAAGGAATTCTGTTTCGGAATTCCGAAACGGAACGAACAGGTCAACCACACACATACGGAATCCCGTTTTGCCTGCAAAATTTTGAACGGAAAACTACCGTAGGAGTGTGATTTTGTATGGACTTGCTGCATTCAGAATCCTGAATCGGAGTTCCGTATGTAGGTATGTGGCGGGCCGTGTAAGAATTCAAGTTTTGTTTTATAACTGATAGAAAATTAAATACGCCAACTTCATTGAAAACATTACATTCCAGAAGGCGCTTCAGACACGGCAGAAGGGCGGGAGAACTTCAAGGGATGCATCCGCGACGTAAGCGTGGCGGGGCAGACTTTAGACTGGAGCGAAATGGAGTCGCTGCATAACGTATTGCTCGACTCTTGCCCCATACCGCAGTGAGCGCAAGGACTTGCAGATGGGACTGGCTGTCAATTAAAACATGAAACATTAAAATTCAACATATTTCACAGCTTTATAGCAAATGTACGCACAAAACCTCATGTAGAATGTAGAAAATGCGCGCAGAAAGTTACAATATTATATTGTCCCCTAACTCTTCAGACCGCGTCCCGCGCTTTACTGGTCTACTGTTAGCAAAGTTTTCTTCTACACGTGACTTCATGAAGCTGTCCACAATCTTTCTGCGCGCTGTTAAATTGGAAGTTGTTGATCTTTGAAAGTTCAAATTTCAACATACTTCGGCGTTTTGAGATTTAGAGTCCAATCCTCGTTTTAAAAGTATTTATGTGTATGTGCGTGTGTGTCTGTATACTTTATCGTCTCATATATCTCGAAATGACGACATTGTTTCCTAGCCAGGTACGATATATAGACTCTTAATTGCATAGTCAAAAATATTGAGTCGGCGCTGAAGACATAATCACATCCGACATCCGTCTTATTACAAAAAGTATACAGTTTTTATTTAATGTCAGGTTTGTTTTTTAATTAAGTCAAATTTAGCAAAGACCATGGCACCGCGGCTAATGGACCTCTTTCGTGACTAAAATGTTTTTAATCCTTTTTTTACGTCTTTGATTAGTGACAAAGATTTCTTGAAAGCCGAGAGTAGGTACTGAAATAGGTGAAAAGTGCCTTATTTTTATAGATATAATAATCGTGCCATATCAATGTGTATGATAAATGATCTGAGATGCTGATTATATGTGTATGATTAAAAATTGTGCGTGTAACGTACGAAGTGAAACTTCTTTACGACATATTCTTTTATTTAATATTTTACATAAGTAGATTATATTATAGTAAACTCATGCAGTCCCGATGAGATGCGAAAACGTGATGTTCTTTTTATTACTGTACCAAATTTCACCGCTACGTCGATAAAGAAGTTTTTCTTCAAAAATTTTAAGGACGCCAGAGTTTATGGGAATGAACTAAAATAATAATTCGCAAAAATGTAATTAATAAAAATCAAACACTGTATTTTAAAGCCTCGGCGCAATGATTTGTAATCTATTTTGACATCACTGTTTTCAAAATATATAATAAAAAAATCCTATAACATTAATATTAGTTTACTACTATATAAACAAATGAAAACATAATAATAATGCTGTAGTGATTACTTGTAAGTACAACGAGGCTATGCTAGAGGCTATAATGTAAATATTTTTGTTCTAATAACATCACTATTAAAGTTGGTAACACTTAATACTCACTTGTGTACTGTGTAAATAGATTAAAAGTACTTAAAATGTTTGTGCAACCAGTATTCGTATAGTTTATAAAAATTGTAAATAAAAATAAATGAAGTTTTTGTGTTAGCTCTTGTATAATATTTAATAAGTTTTATTGTGATTTCTTTTAAAACGAGCTAATCGTGAAGTGTGCAAAGGATTAATTATAGCTTTTTACAAAAAGTGAAAGTAGATTAAAGAACTAAAAGAAGTTTTTACCACCTTTACGGGTGGAATTTTTTCTCCAAATTTGTATGGGACCACCCCTAAAGTTATAACCTATTTAATAAAAAAGGAATATTCAAATCGTGTCTCACTTGGGGAAGATAATATACAAACAAAAATGTACACTCACATTGTAAACTTTTTCCTTTTTTTAAGTCGGCAAAAAAATTAAATATATATATTATAGACCAATTATTTAAAAAAAAATATATTAAAGCTTGCCTACTTACTTGCCTGTTAGTAAAGTAATTTTCTTTTTTGGAAAGCTGTAAATTATTAATAGTATAAAATCGATAAATTCCTTAAGACTATTAAATTAATCGAATGCGGGCAATATTGTAATATAATAACAAATAGGAAACAGCTTTAATAGTTACGATTGTAAATCTGATTGCCATGAATGTAATGAATCATTCCGACGAGTAAGAAAAAAATTACCTATAACCTAATAAATATTTACAATTCAAAATGTTTCTAATTTTAACTTTTTTTTCAAGGCAACTTAATGTAATCAAATTGATATCAAAAATGAATGACTAACAAAAGTGAGTGATAATTTTTTTGTAAAATTTGATTATTCTGTATTTTTAATAGTAATATTAAAAAGATAATCGAATGGCCACTTACATAATCAGCACCGATGTTGGCAATACTCGTCGAGTTGTTTTAATACACTTTGTCGTGTTCAATAGTTTTAAAAGTGTGTAAATATTAAGTATCGTAAGCCTGTACATAATTATATTTAACAATAATGAATACGTATTTATTGTAACATTTCGAAATAAAAGCCGAATGTGGCAATAAAAACATTTATTTATTCATACGTGTTCTTACATCACAAGAGTCGCGGCAGCGCTCTATTGCGAGTCTAGGCACCGAAAGGCTATCTATGACGCATACAGTCAACAACTGGTGCTGACTAGTATAGATTTTAACGCTTTACAAATATTGCAATATAAAACCGTCTAAATAACTTTTTTCTTCGAAAACTTTGAAACATTATAATTCTATTATCTAGATATTTGTAGTTTTGAATTTTGTGCACATGCAAAGTTAGTGCATTTGAAAAGCAATAGAGCGTTTAGAACGACTGAACCTTCAATCCACCTGCTATCCCCTCAATTACCACGTCAAATTGTAAACATCTTGTAAGCTTTTATTCTTCCTTTAAATTAATTTGATGACGTAACTTCAGTTTCCGGTTGAAGATGTAAAATAACAATAAAACCACCCAGCAAGTCTTTATTCTTTACAATAAACTTCATAATTATATTAACCTATTACAGAGGGACAGTGTTACAATGAATCTATAATTCTATGTTTTAATTACACTTAATATTACCAAAGACAAATTCAATGAATGATACATTAAAATGATTTGAAATGGTTTAAAACTTTATATTGACAATCTTTGGATACACAAAATCATGAAAACGATTACTCGTTCAGGTTAAAAATACAATATTAATTGATAAATAAAAATATTCTACCCATCTCACATTATAACTACTAAATAACATCACATTTCTATGCAATATACTCTTTCAGTGTCCAATCAATGCACCTATTTTTATTTTAATAATTTTCATCGCGTTAAGAAAACAGATAAAATTTATACAATAAGATTAATGACATCATTACTAGAATTAAAAAAAAAACGATAGTCAATTCAAAATATCAAAGATCGGCCAGCGAGAGTGAAATATTACTTTTTAAGAAGGAACAAAATTACAGAAACATTGGCAAATTATTGGGGCGGCTTTACTCATAAAAATCAACGTCAACTTGGCTAATTTCGCAAGTGTGAACTTAAACTGCAAAATGTCAGAATTCTGTGAAGCCTAGTATGGGTCTAGATTCAAATTTTTTTTAGGTATTAATTAATAAATAAGGCCTAAGGCCCTAAAGTTTCTCTCTCTCTAGGTTCTTTTTTCTTTTCACTAAATGACAATAGAAAGAGACAGGTTATGCGTAAGGTCATAAATTCTTATTTTTACATAACATTTATTCCTTAACGATTGGTTTCCATTTAATTAAATAGCGTGAGGGTAAGTTTTTTTAAGTTCATTTTTCGATGGGTTGCTAATTGTTGCCAAAGATTGTTTACTGTTATTTTTTCTTAATATATTAGTTATAGTGAAACGGCTTTGTGTTTTTGTCTGTGCTTCTCCTAGTTTAGGTTTTATAGGTAAAGCGTAAGGTAAACTTACCCTAACGCAACTTACGAATATTAAGCCACTATAAACCGACGTTAGTTTTCGAATCAGCATAAACATAAAATAAATTATTGTTTTAAATTTTCCGCTTTGTGAAATAGGCCGAAAGAGTCATCGAAATGTTTATTAGGAATAGAAATAAAGCTAAAAACTTTTAAAACTATACAATAGGTCTCTCGCGGTTTTTACAAAAATCCGTAGCTTGTTATTAGTGCATTGAATTAAAATCAAGTTAAAAAAAACGGGAATGAAAGAGCGCAGGTATAGTTCTGCTCACGAAGTCGAGCGGGCTTTACTTGTAAACACCTATCTGTACTGTATACGAGTCAAATGCGCCTGAGACATAAAGCACACACGCACACAATCGGAACGTGCATGTACGCGTTTCACGAGTAAAGCCCGCCCTCCTTTGTGAATTGCAAGGACTGTACACCACACTATAATTGAATTGGCACATAATACAAATATACATATATTAACAATATTACTTACCATACAAAATTATAATCACCTATTATGCTAGAAGAACCAATTTATTTGTTTTCTTATAAATAAAAATAAATGTTGCCCTATTACTCCCGCTCGCGATTAGATAAAAAAAATTAGAGAACGCTTTGCAGTACTCATAAAAAAATTATAAAAACATAATCGGGATAGAAGGCAAAATGTCTACAATTTAATGGTTTAATGATATTTTATTGGAATTAAATGACAAATTTAATAAGTAGTAATTAATCAAAAGTTATATAATTCGTAAATTTTATATAACGTACTATATCAATGCATTTTTTTAACGATTACACCAGAGTTTGGAACTTTTTAAGCAATCAATAAATTGAATTAATACGGTTATGTCTGCTAAATTTTCTACGTCCAAATCATTAAAGTAAGTTAATGACAGACATATTTTACATTATTTAAAATCTTGAGATATTCTGAACAATGGGTTCAACAAATATACAATCTTGAGCAATTCTTATACATCATGAATTTTATTAAGGGATTTGGGAATGGTGTGGGCGAATTCGGACACGACACATGCGCCGTGCCTATGATGTACGGACGCAAATACGAATATTTTTTTTTATTTGTTTCTATATTTATTACATTAACTACGGAACCCACTGTGGTCACGTTTTACCTGAAAAAGAAAAGGATTTCATATCAATTAAATGAAATTATAGGCATAATAATTTTTGTTATAGTATTTTATCACATTATGGTGGATTGGTCTCAGCTGGCACGCTTGGCAAGCGGATTG